AAAAAAAATTATCAATTTTCATTCAGTTCAGTTTTTGATTACGAGTAACATTTTATGTTTTCACATGCCAGACGATGGTCCAGCTGAAGATGGCCCCGAAAAGAAATGAAATCTACTGAAACAAAAGTGACTTTTTGAGAAACTTGCATACTTCATTGGTAAGTACGTCTCGGCTTGTAATTCTGATGATAACAGTCTGCTGACAGAGTTAATTGAAATGTCAGTCCCTCTACAGGAATGTACTTTTCATATGACCCGACAGAGATAACTGAAAAGATGTATTTGTGCTTGGCGTTTGAGGACACACCGGCATGCGCAGTCAGTTAGAAATTAACTCGTCATGGGTCAACTGAAAATGTTTTTGTTGAGCGGGTTTTTGATACGAGCAGAGAAAAGAGGAGTCTGCACATTTTTTTAAGCTTTATTATTTTAAGCTATATTAATTTTAACCATACATAAATACGTAATAAATTTTTGGATGCTTATTCTTGACAATTTTTGTTCTATTTCAAGCAGAACAAATACAGGGGAAAGAAATGCTGCTGGAGACAAAGAAGAAGCTACCGCAAACCTGCTCCTAATTTCTGCAGTAATTTCAGGTAAATCCTGGCATGATGAAAGTTTCCATAAACTGTTTGTAACTGTGAGCTGATGACTGATCTCAAAAAATTCACTTTCATTATATATTTTCCCCAATTTTTTTAATTTAACTACCGCGCCTACTCTACTTAGTGCTTGTAAGCTAAGGAAGCAATAATAACTTAAACTGTAGACATGTAGCAAATCAGGTATATGCTTAATTTTTACAACTTTTGTTTTATTTTAAGCAGAACATTGGAATGAAAGCAGAATTGATGAGGGAAATGCTACTGGAACAAACAAGGAAAAATTCAAAACTGATTGTCACTTTGTGGGCTGATGATTGATTGGACAAATGTTTTAACCAAATATATATTATTTAAAACTATATTTTAAGCTAATAACTATTGTTATGATAGATCAGTTTGAAGGGATGAATATCGTTACGAAAGATAGTTGATTTCAGCAGCAACTTATGAAATATCTAAACTAGAGCCTGTAAATCCAGACCATGCAGCTGTAGACGGACACTATTCGGAAGATCTCTGCCAAATAGAAAGAGCAAGGCCACTTGGTGTGTAGTATGGATTTGCACCACACGGTGTGGTGTAAACTGAACCTAAAAGGGTCAAAAGACACCGCATAAACTAGAGGAGAAGAGCACATGAGTAAAGAACGTTGTGGGAGGCAGTTGGTCATCTCCTACCCCCTTCCCCCAAAGCAAGATCCACTGAAGCAGAAGATAAGTCTTACTGGGCTATCCGCTCATTTGAAGTTGAGCAATTGACTCACAGCTTCAGTTGTTGTGATATTTGCAAAGAAAGGCACCTAGAATGCAAGGGTTCAGGAAACGTATACCCAATGGAAGAGAGAAAAGAAAGAACCAAAACTTTGGTCAGATGAAAACCTCGATCCTGATAAGGCTGATATCTTTCGTGTGAGAAAGCAAGGCCAAGATGATCCTCGCAAGAACTTAGGGTCAGAGGGCCACACGTTTAAAGGACCTCTCCGTTGGCTAAAAGACATTGATTCTGCCTATGTAGATAATGTTATTGATTTTTAAGAAAAAAGTACCGGACTGGCGTGTCGTGCGATTAGCGCGCGCGCTGAGACATTTAAATTTGGCCAGTTCGTAAGCAAGTTACGGGTACGATTTCTCGCGTGTTTTTTACTTTCAGTTTTAGTCGCATTTTGGAGGTTTTTGTTTTAAAGTTTGTATTTTAAGCTGTTACCGTTTTACCGTCTTTTTACCGATTAAACGTGCCTGCTTTTAAAGGAGATTCGTTATCGCTTCCGAACACTGATGATGGGCGCATTTGGAAACAGTCTGAAAGCTGTGAGTAGCCAGATTTACGAAACTATTGAGTTTTCAGAAACTGAACATATCAACGACCAAGGCCCTGCACCACAGCGACCAGATGCAAGTAAAACAGATAACGATGATTCAACCATTTCTGGAGTCAGTGCTCCTAAGCTACGAGTTAATGCATGAGCCCATGGTGAGGCTGACATTAATTAAATTGTGTCTGAGTTTAGGGATTGTGAAACAGAGGAAAAAGGCCCAACAACCTGGTGCACGACCAGTAATACCTTGGCAAACCATTACCTCTACACCGATGTCTGAATTCACCAATCCTTACTTTTTCACTCTTTCATTTCCTTGCTCGTTCCTCTATCAGAAGGGTAACTTTCACATAAATCGCAAAGGAACAAGTTCTGCACTCTATGAATGGACATATCATTTGCTATGGTATTGGGGAAGAAGGTTTGCTCGACAAAAAGTCTGGAAATTTGTAGTTCACAATATGATAATGAGTAAGTGAGCCCTGAAGAGCAAGTACTTTGTTGATCAGCAATTAGCAGACCCACACGTGTGGTAGTGTATAGTAGTGGCAACAGAGATGAAGAGAGCATGGAGCCT